CTTGGGGTTTGTTCCATGTAAACAACTGATCAGGGGGCGGGGCAGCCAATCGTACGGGCCCTCAGATAAGGATCGTGGGGTCAAGCTTTTATGTTTGGTGTGTGTACCTCCCAAAGATTTGGCGTCCTGTGGGGGGTAATCCCTGGATTGGGCCCCACGGGCACCGTTTGAGCAAAATATCCCCCCGATCAGGGCGGGTTTTCCCCCCCGGTCCAGAAAAAGAGGAAAGGGTGGTTAGGGGAGGAGAGAAAGGCTTTGGTGTTACCCAAGTGGGGAAGTCACCGTCCACTTTTTGTGGGTATTTTTAACCACCCTCATTTTAAGTGGGGCTCGACTGGTTTTCCCTTGGGGAAAATTTTAACGATGAAAAAAGTTTCAAAAATCTAAAACCAGAAATTGACGAATGTTTAATAATTTTCTTTAAAAAGGGCCCCAAAAAATACCTCTATAAAAAGGGGCACTGCCCTAAAAAAACAAAACCCCCCGATAAACACCCCCTTAAGGGGACTGAACAGCCCCCTTGGGTAACACCCAGCATTCTCAAAATCCTTAAAAAAAAAACCCCAATAGAAAAACAGCCCCAAAATGGGTCACATAACCAAAAGCCCAAAAACAAAACGCTACTCGTAAACCAAACCCAGCCTGTTTTAAGAAGGGAAAAAAAATTTGTTTTAAAGGGGGAAAGGAAACAGTTTAAATCCAATTACGGGGGTGTATAAAAAAGAACCCGGGAAAAAAAAAATCAAAAATTTTTTGGAAAAAAAAAGATAAACACGAAATAGCGGGAAAAAAAAATTAGCAAAATCAGATGAACCCCAACTCCCACCAAACAAAACAGCAAAAAGACTCAATGATTTTTCTCCACTATAGGGGCAAAACCTTGCCCAAAAAAACCCCAAAACTCAGATACCCCCCCCAAATGCTTAAACCCCACTGGCATAAACCCCCAACCCCATGTTCCCTTTTCTCCCACCCAACCACCCTACCCAAGTCCCCCCCCTTTTATCAACACACTAAAAAACAAAAGGGGAGGAGATTTAAATACCTTAAACCCCCCCTTTATATACAAAAAAGGGATCACAAGTGCAAACCCCCAATCATTGCAAAACTCTTTAAAAAAATCCCCTTTTAAACCTCCCCCTTCCCCCACAGTACTCAAAATACAAGGGGCCCCCCCGATCCACAAAAGGGGGGGACCAGAGTTTAAAAACTATAGGCCAAATATTTCCCAAATTACAAACCCCCTCTTTAAAATTCTTCGAAAAAATTTAAATTTTTAAACGAATCTACTCCTAAACCCTTTTCTCCCCAAAACCCTACTCAAAACCCCCGCCCCAATTTTTGGGTTCCCGGCCTAATAAAAAAACTAAAAGAAACTAAATTTTTTCACATTTCTAGGAAAAAATATTTCAAATGCAATAAAAAAGAAAAAAGAAGTCCCACTGGGGGGTCTTCATTGACTTACGTAAAGCTTTTGTTTCGTTGACCATGACTTGCTCCACGTAAAAAATTTTCACAAATTTTGGGATAAGAGGGGACACCCCCCAGGTCCCTAAACCCCAGCCCAAAAGAACCCCAAAATGGGGAAAGCAAATGGGGGCAAACTCTTCTGCAAACCAATTACAGTTGGTGTCCCCCCAGGGAAGTGTCCCTTTTTTGGGGCCCCCTTTTTCTTTTCCCCATTTTAAAAAAAGACCACCCAAAAGCTTCGCCCCCTTACTCAAACCCCACACTGTTTTTTCCCGATGACCCCCCATCCCCCCCTCCCCCCTCTCACCCAGCCCGTCACGCTAGGGCCCAAAACTGTAATAACCCAAAAAAGAAAAATATCTACCTGGAAGAGGGGCTAAACAACTTAAAATTTAAAAATTGAAAAAACCCACTTCTTCATTTGGTAACAAGACTACAGATTTCCCCCTTAACATAATGATAACGGATCCCTACCAAAGCTAACAGAGGGAAAATTCTTAGGAATCCACCCCCTTTATTTAAAAGGGCTCAAATTTCATACACATATTACAACAAAAATTTTTTTAAAAAAATTTCCAAGACTGTAGGGATACTATCGAAAGATAAGGTATTCTATGCTCCACCCTCCGCCCCCTGGCCCTTTTTCACCTCTTATTTCCCCATCTCCCTATGGAAATTTTTGCATGGGGCTCAAAAACCAAATAAAATACTCAGACCACTAATTACCCAACAAAAAGGCTGCATTTTGAATGATAAAAAAATTCTACTAAGGAGCACACTTTTCCACCAATATTTAATACACCCCAAAAACCATCCACCATACAAAACTTTCCCTATTATTACCTTTAAAACCCCATTACATACATGAACACTTTAAATCTGATATTAAACCCCCCCCTCAAAAAATCTCCTTGCCAACCTCAACAAACACATGACCATAAAAACAAGGGACAGATCACTTGATGTTCCTTTGTTTTCCCCCTCCACACAATGCCCCAAAAAATCAAAGCACATAAAAGGCCCTAAAATCTGGGGAATTTATTTCCCCCTAAATTTTAAAAAAAACCCCCTACCTGTTTTTAAATTTCAAGCCCTTTCCAAAAAATCACCTTTTCCACCCCAAAAACCCAAATAAAATGAAAAAAACCGAACCTTATAAATTGTATAAAACTTTAATTTTCTAAAAATTTTTTATCACATAAAAGTTTTTAAACCCCAAAACCCAATTCTAACTTTATTATTTTTTAAATTTTTAAAAAATACCCAACAGAATACTCCTTCTACTGAAAGTACAACAATGCATGCAACCATATGAACCCGTTTTTTGTAATACTCCCCTTTGCTTTATTTGTAATCCGTTTACATTTAATTTTTTTTATCCAATGATTTATCATTGTTAGGTTTAAACTTAAAAATTAATTTTTAAACCAGGCCCCTAATGCCCTTTTTCCCAAGTATTAAATGGCTTTGGCTTTCTGCTCCCTTTTCTGTATTTTTTTGTACCCTGTATGTGTGCTCAAATTGTTAATAAATAAAAAAAAAAATAAAATAAAAAAAATACCGTGCACACACAAAAAAAAAAATATTGGCATCAGAGATGCTGTCTAATATTCTCGGGGGTAATGATATATAATGAACATGCTTTGAAAGGGTTTACTGTTTTCCAAAGGTTGTGGTTGCTGGAAGAAAGGGGCGGGGTTTTCCCCACAAACATTGTACTTTTGTAGTTTTTCTTTTCCCCTTTCCAAATTTCCTACTGCCCTTTTGATTTCTTTTAGCTCCGCATTATAAATTAAAATTTTTTCCAACACCATTACTGTACCTGTTACCCTTTCGCTCTGTATTCTTTGGCTTCTTAATATGATTATTTTCTGTCTGTTTCTTTAAAAAAATTTTTAGGCCCCTGGATTAAAACAGTGATGGAGGGGAATGATGGGTTTTAAAGTTTTTCTTTTTGGGCCACCCCCGCCTTGGGGGGAATCGGCCTGTGATAAAAAAAAAAAAAAAAAAAAAAAAAAAAAAAAAAAAAAAAAAAAAAAAAAGAGATAAGATAGGATTCGTTCGGATTTTTAACCCCGGAGGGTTAGCCACCCAGGATAACCCAAGAAAGTCAGTTCGTCATCGAGGACTGTCTAACTTATTTCCATTGGGGTCCTTAATCTTGTCCCCCAGGATGCGACCCACACCAGTCGACTAACACCCAGGTACCTATTTGCTGCTAGGTGAACAGGACAACAGGTGTAAGGAAACGTGTCGAAATGCTTCCACCCGCCGGGAATCGAACCCGGGCCCTCCGTGTGTGAAGCGGGAGCTTTAGCCACCAGGCCACCCATTCTTTCATGTGAATGCCGTACTTCCATAAATGAGGCAGAGAAAACTTTTTTCTCATAAAGTACATTTATTATCAACATTTTTATGAAATGTATTTTACCTGAAAAAAGTCTTTCCTGCCACCTTCATGTATTAGATTGGAAGACTATACTGTACTAGGACACTAGGACACTAGGACACTAGGTGGCCCGGTGGTCTGGTGGCTAAAGCTCCCGCTTCACACACGGAGGGCCCGGGTTCGATTCCCGGCGGGTGGAAATTCCGACACGTTTCCTTACACCTATTGTCCTGTTCACCTAGCAGCAAATAGGTACCTGGGTGTTAGTCGACTGGTGTGGGTCGCATCCTGGGGGACAAGATTATGGACCCCAATGGAAATAAGTTAGACAGTCCTCGATGACGCACTGACTTTCTTGGGTTATCCTGGGTGGCTAACCCTCCGGGGTTAAAAATCCGAACGAAATCTTATCTTATCTTTACTTTCTTGATGCAAGTAGAAATATTAACACTGAAAAAAAAGTGCCATGAATGCACAATAAATGAGAAAAAGGTGCCTTTGTGTAGAAAAGATTAAAAGCCACTTTTATAAGGTGACAGGTAACCCAGTTAAAATGCTTATAGTATTTCATGTACAGTTGGATTATCTGATTTCCAATCTAGTTATCTTATTTCAAATCTGTTTACCATAATTAGCCAAATCACCTTACGATCTCTTAAGTCTGGATTCTGTTTGCAGAGATATTCATCCATGGATTATTCAATTATTCTTGTTGTTGGTCACCAGCATCAATGCAAAAAAAAAAAAAAAAAAAAAAAAAAAAAAAAAGTGACAAGGTTAACCTGGTCGGATTTTGTCTAGAGATTTATACATGTATTTGCAATTGAAATCCCTGTTTTGCCTTGACCCATTTTTTTGTCATCCATCTTCATCACTGGAAAAATGGTCATTTTTAAGTGAGTTAATGTGGTCATATTGCTTCTGCTATCTGAAAGCTTACTGAATTTATCAACTGAGCTTCCTCATTGATTTTCAGTGCCTGTTTTTAATATAATAATAACAATAATAATCCAACCAGTGGACTCTGTCTTCAGTGCTTTGAAATCCGTGATCAAAAGTTACAGTAGAGCTTTTACTTAACCAATTCTAATGAAATGCTATCATACTGGACACTAATATCACAGGAAAATGAAATAGTGTATTTAGTGTGCATTTTATTATTAATCAATAGAAATGAGTATAATTTTATTTTCATATAAATAACATAATCAAATAGGATATTAAAGCTATAAACATAAATTCATTCCATCACATCTCATTCATAGTTCTTTAGGAATGTGTATTTGTTGTGTATAGTTTACTTTTTTATTTTGAATGTTTGTGTATGGATGTAACTGTGTACAAGTGTAAGATAGAATTAATATAATGAGATTACATGACTAAAATTATACCAGCTTTGTGGGTTACAATTATTTATCAAGTGCTTTCTCTTCATGTTCCACAAATGTCCCCAAAATCACAGGAAAAATTGCAAACACCTATTAGTCCTCTAACTATAAGAAATTGCATTTACTGTGCAGTATTTTTTTGAATGCTATAATGAACAGTTATATGCTAGTCTGATCAGAGCTGCACAGGGATTTTTTATAAATGGTTTCATATACACAGTGCTTGAATTTATCACATTAACATAAACTGTGATAGCAATGAATTGGTAGATCTCCTCAAAATTTGTATTCTGGTGTTACATCAGTGGAACAACTGAAGGGTAGACTCCTCAATACCAACTGACTAATAGACTTTGTTATACAACTAAGTAATGTTTAATGTAGTGTTATGATCAGTCATTTAGATGACACACATATAAGTGCTGCAGTAAATAGATGGAGTAATTATTCATTCCATATCAATTTTATCCTGTTCAGAATCTTCACTTTTTTTCCAGACATTCTAAATCAGAGAGTAATGACCGTAAAGCCCTATAAAGCATTAGCTCTTCATCATTGTGTATAAATGGTTTAGAAAACCGACAGGTTGATAAATGAGACACTTGTGCAACAATTGGGAATCTTTATTCTGGAAATGTTTTGCCACACAGTGGCTTCTTCAGTCCAGTGCAGAGAAAGGTGGAAGATGAGGAGGAGTTTCCAGTAATAAGACTGAACACAACTCCAGGCTGAGGGACTGATTACCTGAAACTCTTCCTCATCTTCCACATTTCTCTGCATTGGACTGAAGAAGCCACTGCATGGCAAAACATTTCCAGAATAAAGATTCCCAATTGTTGCACAAGTGTCTCTTGATCATTGCACTAGAGAAACAAAACTAGTTGGAACAGCCTAGAAAAGCCAAGCTGATAAGGAAAGTTCTTGTGTGTATCAATGAAACAGTTATACATAGTATAGAAGATCTACATCATTACAGTCTGTTGACAGTGGGGCAATCATGTTGAATCATTTCAACTATAAACAGTCAAAACACTGTGTGAAGTGACAATGTGGCAGTGTGGGTTCAATAAAGACAAATTATCTCTGAATTGGATTCAAAGAGTAATAAAATAAAAATGGTCACTGATATTGTTATCATAAACAATTAAACAAGTTACAATATTTGTTTGTCACATAAACCCAATGAACTTTTGAAGACCATTGGATACAGTCTAAATAGTATTTAAATTCTTACATACATTTTTTCTTGAATAATTATTTTATTGTTCAGCTTGTCTCCTTGTTTGACATGATATTCCTTCACAGTATTGAAATCTTTAATTTTATTCTACTTGATATAGACTATCATCATAGGCTACAGCTTTTTTTGTAAATGTTTGCAGAGGTGAGCTATTATGATAGGTACTGTACATATATCTGTAGTACTGGTATGTGGATTTCTCTTTTTGTACGTAGTTATTAGTTATATTTACCACTTCAGAGATATAGACAGATTGCTTCAAGTAAATATTAACTTAAAAAATAAATTCATCTTAATGATAAACTCCATTATTAGCTGAGGATATTCATAACTCACCATCAAAGCCTCAGGAAACATTCCTACCTTTATAAAGGACACAAATCCCTTAATGGTTCAGGTAAAGTCTCACTCACCACATGATGCTACTGTTTATGCATTAATCATTGCTGAATGATCCATACAGGCTGAGTTATTTGTGAAAATAATAAGCATAAATCAATAATGTATTTCATTTACTGTAGCCAACTGGCTTCCAAACTATGATTTTAATGTTACTGTAATGCAGTTATCACTTAAATCTGATAATAGCTATTTTTATAAGATGTTAAAAAATTTACATATTCATAATAATCCTAACATGTTATAATTTTAAGTAGGTTATGACTTCTATATTCTTCACAAATATACTAGGCAGCCATTAAATATGCATTTCTAAGAAGTCTAATTTCATGTGTTGATTGGAAGAATGAATATCACTTTCCCAACGACTGATCACATGACCCATATCGAAGTACTCTAGAGTGTAAATCCTTGTCAGCTTCTTGTTTACAAAAGTGATAAATGGGATCTTTTTGTTACTCCTACCATATTTTCTTCAGAATATACTGAAGACTAACTTCAGTCTAATCTTATCACAGCATATGTTCACAATAATTGTATATATTTGCTGATGAGGATATTCCTTGCTTGAATTTATATATATAAAAAAAAACACACCTGTTGGTAAAGGGCTCTTGATCCAAGGAATTAAAGCTACTCTCCCTTTCTTTGAATCAAACTTATCTCCCATTCAACAGACACTGTATAACCCTAAGGGTTTAGTGCTTCCCAGTGCTTATAATAATACATATAGAAATTAAACAATTTGATAACTGTATGAAATAAATAAATTCTACACAAAACCTGTAATACAGAGTGCACACAGTTCCATCTCTTGGGTGATTTAGAAGGTACACTATCACGACCCTTAAGAATTAAAACTTTGAACAGGTAGACAAGAGATTGGTACTTGATACTAGCATGCTTGTAAATGAGCCACATGTGTAATATGAGGACATTTGAAAAGAGAAGTTTTGCTCAATGGAGCTTATATCAATCCAAGCTTGAGAGCAAAATGTCTCCTCAATGAAAATGCTGGTACAGTGGACCCTCGCTTTACGATCAGCTCTCAATGTGACTAATTATGTAAGTGTATTTATGTAAGTGCGTTTGTACGTGTATGTTTGGGGGTCTGAAATTGACTAATCTAATTCACAATATACCTTATGGGAACAAATTCGTTCAGTACTGGCACCTGAACATACTTCAAGAATGAAATAATATCGTAAACCGGGGGTCCACTGTATTATTGTGTCTTATTTACATGCAAACTGATAAAACAGTATTAATGTTGAATTAATCACAACATATTGAATACCAAAAGCTGAAAGAGGTAGTGTGTCACAAAAAGACATGAAAATGAGGGAAAATAACTAAAATACCAATTACTTTATGTGAAAAAATTAAATATTGTTATCTGACAAATAAATAACAGTAAAGAAAAAATCAGAGTGTGAAGTACTGGTAATGTAATTTAGTACAGAATATCACATTGTTCATAAAAACCAGCGTTGTAAGACCCTCGTGGGTTTAGCGCTTAGTTATGATTATAATAATAATAATGTTCATAAAAACGCATTACAGAATATGCACTCTTAAGAGAAGGAACATATAGAGTACTGTACTAAGGAGGGGACAGTACATGTAAGCCAGCAGGGATTAGATCAAGCCATTGCATCACAAGTAACGGAAACATTTAATACCAACTCATATACAAGAACTCTCTTCGGAGGATGGGGGTTCCCTGGTGCAGGTGCAAGGCTCTTGGTCCATAGAATAGGAAGTATCCTCCCTTTCCTTGGATCAGACCTGACTGCATCCTAATCCATGATGGTGTATGACCCATATTGGTTTAACACTTCCCCATGAATATAATAACACATACAAGAACTAATGTTCCTGTTAACCACATTGTGAGAGTAGATGTTTTAATAACTTCTAGTTTTCTCTCATCAGTAATTGCTCCAAAATTTACAAATCTGTAAATGAATATCAACAAAAATTACTAAACATATTATGGTACAGTTCATATTAAAATAATGCCATTCAAAAAAATTACATTAATGTAAGAAGCCAATCTACAGTACACTTGTGAAATCAGAAATGAATAGAAAGCTCATTTTATTTTTTTTTTCTTAAAAAATACAGGACAATAAATATCAAGAATATCATGAATCATATCAGTACAGTACACCAATTATTTCTTAAAAAAGTAGGCACAATAGTAACACGGGCCAAGTCCTGTAGAATATGGTTGTTCATTATGAGCAAAGTATTTGGTCCACTGAATAGCAGATATGATATGGGGATATACTACTGGCACAAGTATACAAGTTATGGGTATTGTACAGTTTAAGTGTTATTCAGAGTAGCCCTTAGTACCTGGTGATTTTATGAATATACATTCCTACATGAAAGTTGCCTATTATTTAAGCACCAATATGCAAGGAACAGAATGTCTACAGCATCTAGAAACAGATCTTCAAATTATATCATGTCCTAGCAATATACTGTACGAAAGATGGGGAACATACAACAATGATGCCTGGTAGGTATGTCGCTGTTGACACTGAGGAATACCAACGTATGCTTTTAATGACTAATATACAACAGTTTATTTTGTCCAGAAAATTACTAGCATTAAAAAAAAAAAGCTACAGAATAAGCAAGTACATATCTGATTCAAAAACAAAAGTTTCTTTCTGAATTTTATACCTTAATTTGTGTTTGACCTATGTTATAGGAGGGATATTGAAGGCAAGCAGTGGCTGATTCAGATGTAATGCACTGACAGAATAGTACAGTTGATTCATCCTCCCTACATTAACATTATAGATTGTAAACTAGTTATGATGTAGAAACCATTTCACTATAAAAAACACTATAAAAATAGGAAAAAATACAAATATTGTACAGGGTTGTCAGTAGTTGTGTTATTAAGCAAGAGAAAAAATTTGTTTAGACAAATTTACTAATGAACACCTCAAATTCCCTAATTGTGCTTGTGAGGGGCTCTTGATGCACTGACTTGAAGCTATCCTTCCCTGATTACTTCTCATTTCTCTGGTGCTGTATTAGCCTTACAAGCTTAGTGCTTACCTATGATCATAATAATAAAGTACATGTCAAATAGAGTGCTGTCCTTAGTACAACTGCCATCATAATCTTGAGAGATGTTAGGCATACTGCTATGGTATTCTTGTATCTTTCAAATTATCCTTTCAGCATTGTAAAAGTGAGCACTAAGCACAAACTTTATTTCACCACTGGAATTTTAAGTACACTGGATACTAGTATTGTTGTGTAGGAAACTTGCAAATATAGTTTCACATAGTACTGGAGACTGCCAGTACCAGAATTGCAAAGAAATTTGGTCTTTAAAGGCAAATAGTATCACACACATATACAGTATTAAAAATAAGTTTTAAACATGCCAACAGAAAACACATGTGTAATGTAATTTTTATATTCACAATTTCTTTGTCAATATTTAATTTGGAATTACGGGTACTGTATTATACAAAAAATCAAAGAAAAGGTGGAAAAATTTCTAGCAATATAGGCCTAATATGCTTCGATGTTAAATACAAAGTACTGTACTGTACATATATTGCAGTAAAGCTTTTTGTGGTGCTTGGATTTTGTATAGACTGCCCTTATGGTAATCTAATATGTAATAATTACCAGGAAATAATTATTAAAAATCTATGCATTAGGTATTTCCACTTTCCACAAAAATGGCACATACATTCAGTCCATACCTCATGGGGATTTGATATCATTAAGTCTTCAGTTTGCCCAACCCAGTCAAATTTCTGGATATATACATATTTCATTTTGAAACAAATCCTTTAATTTATATATATTCCATAATGTGTCATTGCTATTTTTGCTTCTATTTTTTTCAATTAATGATACAATAGAATTAATGATGCATATTTGTTCAACAGCAGGCATCAGTGACAAAGAAAATGGCACATATTAGGAATATATACTTTACATTCAGTTTACAGTACTTCCACACACATATGAAGTTATGATGTCACAAACTAGAGGTGGTGGCATTGTAACACACACACATTGATAATGTATGAACACAGCTGACTTAAACACCACATGAATCATATGATGTGATGAAGTGATACAACTTGGTGGTAATGTCACACGTTGACAACAGAGTCTCGTTTACCAGGCTCAAGGCAGAGTGCTGCAGCAGGGTCCTTGCCAGATTCCTTTAATTTTTCTTGCATTTGACTCAACATCTCCTGCATACGCCGGATCTAGAGAGAGGCAGACATAAAATGATATTACACCTTGCCATTCATTATAAGTGCAACAAATTATTCATTGGAATACAACACAGCAGTCAGCTGTACAGCTGTACTCTCTTAAGATTAGATGAAATATATGATTTGGTCAGCTTGACTACTGAATTCAAGTAAGCAGACCATGCCTACATAAATTACAAAAATGTAAATAATTTAAATATAGCAATGAAAATCATCTAAGAAATTAAAAAGTTCATTCACTTAATCTTTAGCATTTTTAGTCACCATAATTAGTCACCACTATAAACTAAGAGATACATGACACACTCTTCAAATGAGGCATGATAGGGCTGATCTTTTAGAGATTTAAAATACCAAAAATCTGCAATAACATCTTCAAGCTTTGCAAATTGCTTGCAAGGTAGGCAACATGAAATTCATTGCCAAGAAAGTAATATACTTAGGGCTAGTCTCCCTATCAAAGCAAACATTTCTGTAGTTAAAGAATACCTTAACCTGCACAGTTCAGTGCATACGAGGATGTTAAAAATAGAATAGATAAAAAAAAGACCTTAAACACAAATATTCTTCATTTAGAAAGTGATAAGCAGTACATAATTAAGAGAACACTCTCATAAAGTATTATAAACACAATATTAAAAGATGAAAGATACAATTATCTACCTCCTCATCTTTCTGTTGAAGTAGTTTATCTGCATCTCCAACTTGGTCAAAGTTTGCAGCACTCTCTCTTTTCAGCTTATTCCTCTCCTTCATTGCTACCTGCTGGAAGGACATTCAGCTAATAAGAAGAGCATAACAAATAATGCATAGATACAATGATGCATTAATGAGAGGAAGTGAAGGCATAGAGGAAGAGAAAGAAAGAGACTGCTATGAAAGACAAAGTTAAATAAAGCCAAGTGCAAGAATAGCCACTGCTTCTTGCAGATGTATAAATATTAGAGTAAGGAGATGAAGTCAAGTTTGTGAAGCCTGAAATAGATTAAGATGCTTAAGTCCAAGTCTGACAGAAATACTGTCGTAAGTTTCCATCCCCTAAGTGTGGGTTTTTGTGTATTCTTCAAGAGGCCTAACTTTATACAAAAAGAAGGGGGCAGGGCTTATGGGATGTAGAGATACCTTTTTCAGATCATGCAAGGACTGACACACACCTAATCGATCTAATTATGTTGCTCAAAGTGACTATTGAGTGGCATCTACAGTTGTTCGGATAATTTTCCCCACTGTTAAGGCCAGACTGATTGGCTGGAAATTAAAAGTTAAGGACCTATCTACTGGCTTAGCAATATATTTTGTATTACATTGGCTATCTTTCACATATCTGATACTAATATTCATTTGTGTTAATTTATTAAACAGACCAGGTAATAGTTTCATGATTTCTTCATTACATTATTTAGGAACTCTTTAAAACAGTTTATTATGTTTTAGTGAATTGTTTGCATTTAATCAGTCCACTTCTTTGAAAACTGCCACTAGTTACTGTGAGTTTTAATACAGTAAGTTATTTTCATCATGTCTTGCATAATTACAGTTTTAGGCCTGTTATGTGTATCCTATGTAAAAGCAGACTATACTGTTAAAATGGAACACATTTCCTTGTCATTGTACGTTATCTGACCTGACTTACAGTATGTTTAACACTGCATTTAACAGTGAATAAGACTAAAAGTAATAATAAAATGACGGGAAAGAAGTTGCAGAGATGATGTAAGGTTATAAATGAGAAATGCAAGTGTGAAGCATAAAAGAGCTTGTTGAAAAAAACAAAAAGTGACAAAAAGAGTAAAGTTGTAGAGATTTCAAGGACAAATCATAAACACAATAATGTACATGACGGATAATAATGTATTAAGGAATACTTAAATAAAAGGAGAGTAGGGAATAAAATAAGAGAAGATATATTAAAAGGAGAAGAATGTTGGGAAGAGAGTTAAAAAAAAAAAGGAAGTGTAGAAAATAGAGTAAAAACAAAAATAGAAAGACCTCTAGAAATGAGTGACAAACAAATGAAAATCTTTCCATATAGGAAGGCAGTCATAGTATATCTTTCCACATTCAACTAATAGGAAGCACATCACAGGAAACAAAATTTGTATATTGCAGTGATACTTCCATTGGAAGGCGGGGTAGGGGTCGGCCTAGGAAGGGTTGGAGGGAGGGGGTAAAGGAGGTTTTGTGTGCGAGGGGCTTGGACTTCCAGCAGGCATGCGTGAGCGTGTTTGATAGGAGTGAATGGAGACAAATGGTTTTTAATACTTGACGTGCTGTTGGAGTGTGAGCAAAGTAACATTTATGAAGGGATTCAGGGAAACCGGCAGGCCGGACTTGAGTCCTGGAGATGGGAAGTACAGTGCCTGCACTCTGAAGGAGGGGTGTTAATGTTGCAGTTTAAAAACTGTAGTGTAAAGCACCCTTCTGGCAAGACAGTGATGGAGTGAATGATGGTGAAAGTTTTTCTTTTTCGGGCCACCCTGCCTTGGTGGGAATCGGCCGGTGTGATAATAAAAAATAACTTCCATTGATTATGCGGGTGCAATTTTTAATAGAATTTGCACTTAATTACTGAAATTTTTAGTTTCACCTAGTATTTTGTGTGGAATATAAGGTGCTACAGAATAGAGGTTTATCCAACAAACATTAAATTTTGATACTATACACTGAAAACATTATCCAAATAATAATTTCTATATTATATAAGTTTTATTAAGAATAGTCAATTATTGCACTACTTTAAAAAATGTTTTATATATATTTTAATGTCTGTATTACCACATACTAATACATACAGTACATAGACAGTGCTTTAAATTAACATCCAGATTATATAAATAACAGATTTTGCGAAGTGTTACCTGCATTTGTGAAATGCATTGTGCTCGGAAATTTTCATAGTGTACATCCTGTGTTACCTCCTTCATATCTTGCATATGTGTAGATATCAGCATTGTGCGCAGCTTCACGAAGTCACAGTGAGCAGAATTTTCAACTAAAAGATCAATAGTCATATAATAATAGAGTATAGTGATTTTAATTTGCCAAAATGTAATTGAAAGATTATATTTTTATCCCCTAGAGAAGCAATTATTTGTTAGATATTACATGCAGTGATTCATTTGTGGTAATTAATCACAAACCTTCCACAATACCCCAGGGGTACTGCCGTCCTCTCATCTTTTTTCCCGCCACCTCAATTACACAATTAGACCCAATAACCGCAAAAGGAATTGATGCCTTTAGCTCCCGATCTTGTTGTTTAAAGTCCTCATCCTCATCTGAATCACACTCAGGGAACTGATATATCTGAAAAAAAAAAAAAAAAAATGAAAGACAACACAGGCAGTTAAAACCACATAATATGATTATTTGAGTCTTTGGGCATTCTTATAAGGATAAAAATGAAACACAACAAATCAAAGAATACTGTATAATAACTAAGTAAACTCTAGGAGAGCTTTGAATTAACACATCCAGAAAGATCCTGAGTCCTTTTATGCATAAGCAAATGTGCTGTTATGTGAGTGTGAAGCATGGGTTTTAAATGTTGCAGCAAGAAGGAGGGAAGGCAATACAGATGTCAGGTTTGAGGACAGTGTTTGGTGTGAATATTATGCAGAGAATTTGAAGCTTGGAGATTAGGAGATGGTGTGGGATTACCGAAGGTTTTATTCAAAGGGCGCAGGAGGGGTTGTTAAGGAGGTTTGGACAGATAGTAAGGCTGGGGCAAAATAGGATAACTAGAGGGAATATAAATCTAGGGAAGAGGTGTAGGAGTTATCCAAAGATAGGTTGGAGGGAGGGGGTAAGGCAGGCTTTTGAGTGGCAGGGGCTTAAACATCCAACTGCCTTGTGTGACCATTTTATATAAGAGTGAGTGGAGGCAAGTGGTTTTTATGTTTTGCCATGTTGTTAGAGTGTGAGCAAAGTAACATTTATGAAGGGATTCAGGTTAGCTGCAGTTCAAAAGGTTATCTGAACCATGATGTCGACGCACTTTTGGCAGGATAGTGATTAAATGAATAATGAAAGGTTTTTTTTTTCAGTTCACTTTACCTTGATGAGAGGCAACCAATGTGTTAAAAATTAAAATAAAGAAAGGGCATATACACCGAGAGGGTTATGCATTTTTTTAACACTGGGCATCTACCAAAGTAGGGTGACTCATAAAAAGGTAACACATTCACCATCATTCATTCAGTAGCTGCCTAGCCAAGTCTGCAGATATCACAATTCAAATGCAACATCTCTACTTCTCTTTCAGAGTGCAGGCACTGCACTTTCAATCTCCAGGATAAAAAAGTGATTAACCAGTTTCTCTGAATCCCTTCATAAGTGTTACCATGCTCACACTCCAACAGCACCTCAAGGCATAAAATCCATGTGTCTCCAATGTGATCTAACACTTTCACACAGGCCTACTGGATGCTAAAACCCCTAAAACTTAAAACTTCCTTTACCCCCCTACCTCAAACCCATCTGCAATCTTGGTCATCCTATTGCTGCATCCTTTCCAAATGTTCCAACCAGCTCAACGACCCTTCCTCAATGCTCCTAAGTATATACCTACAGTAACCCTCTCACCATTTCCAATTTCTACGAATTGATTTTTTTCTGCATAATATTCTCACCACAATTTTTTCTCAAATAAATGTAGTTGATAGTCTTTAAACCTAATAAACCAACCAATAATAAGTACAATGAAGATGAAAAGCTTCTAGAAAGAATACTGAAGACATTTGATGCAGTATTTCAAAATCATTTAAGTGATATGCCTATTACAAGTGAAACAGTCGCATGGAATACTGAAAATTTTAATTATTCAACAGTGTGAGATGTCAGCAGCTCATGCATTGTATAACTTATGAGTAACCATCAGGATCCTCCACAAGGAAATCATTGAAGATAATATGCACTACCTACATGAAGCCAATACTGGAATATGTAGCAGCAGCATGGTATCAATATCTCTTCCAACAGAAAATAGCTCAAGTTCCAAAGATTTGCCTTCAGGCTTGTTTCTGAGATTACAGGAACCTCACAACAACAGGGGGTATGAAGGAATAGGGAAGATGAGGTCACAATGTTCATGGTGTTTACAAAGTGAATGTGGATAGGCTGTCTGAAAGGAAGGTGACTGGTTCAAGGGGACATATATTGAAGCTAAAATAAAAATTCAGCTTAGATGTACATGTATATCATTTAAATTTGTTAATGATTGTGGGGATGATCACTCCTGCAGCCTTCTCAAACATGTGAAGAAACCTCAAAGTGTAGACAGTAAACAAGTGGAATGCATTAAAAGGTGTCCATTGTTTTATGCAGATTGGATTGATGTAAACTCATTATTATGTGATATATCTATCAGTAATTCCATATATAATAATACAGTGGACCCCCGCATAACGATTACCTCCGAATGTGACCAATTATGTAAGTTTATTTATGTAAGTGTGTTTGTACGCGTATGTTTGGGGGTCTGAAATGGACTAATCTACTTCACAATATTTCTTATGGGAACAAATTCGGTCAGTACTGGCACCTGAACATACTTCTGGAGTGAAGAAATATCGTTAACCGGGGGTCCACTGTAATATCTTTCATTTCTACAAGTACATGTACAAGGTATACAGGCCTAGCTGACATCAATGACATACTACTATATAGAAAGCCCATTGTTATGCAGAGCATTTCGAGCAAAATAGGTCAATTTTGTCCCAGGATGCGACCCACACCAGTTGACTAACACTCAGGTACCCATTTTACTGATGGGTGAATGAGGACAGCAGATATCTTATGGTAACACATCATAATGTTTTCCAGCTGTGCTGAGGGATCAATTTCCAGACCTCAGTGTGAGGTGAGTGCACTAGAGATCAAGCTACAGGACACCCAACTGAGCTATGCAGTTTGTGTGCCATGTGCAATAGGCCTGAGAGCTTAGTACAGATGCCAAGCTCCTGGAACACATCTACAGCATAAACGAGGCTTGAAAAAATCATACTGGTAGGCTGGTGGTTAAGGGGCAGATCCCAAGTTAGCAATTATAAGTGCAATGTAAGGTGATTTAAAATTGACAGATTAATTATTATCACTTGAACTTAATTAAAATATAAATATATCTAAGACACACCTTAATCTTGTTATTTTCTATGTCGTTGAGAATGTTGGTTTTGAGCTTATGTATTTCAGCTTTAGTAAGAGTATCAGACTTGGCTATAACAGGAACTATGTTGACCTTCCTGTGAAGCCGTCTCATGAACTCTACATCCATCTGTCTCAACCTGGAAAAGTATGATCATATTAGAAACAAGATAAGGAAAAAGACTGACAAGATTATATCTTTTTTACCCACTAATTATCCATTATTATTACTTAATCAGCAACATCCTCATTGAGTGGGGCCCATGCTAATCACCTTATGATGCAGGGGAAATATACCTGGAGTTTACCTGGAGAGAGTTTCGGGGGTCAATGCCCCCGCGGCCCGGTCTGTGACCAGGCCTCCTGGTGGATCAGCGCCTGATCAACCAGGCTGTTGCTGCTGGCTGCACGCAAACCAACGTACGAGCCACAGCCCGGCTGATCAGGAAACTGACTTTAGGTGCTTGTCCAGTGCCAGCTTGAAGACTGCCAGGGGTCTGTTGGTAATCCCCCTTATGTGTGCTGGGAGGCAGTTGAACAGTCTCGGGCCCCTGACACTTATTGTATGGTCTCTTAACGTGCTAGTGACACCCTGCTTTTCATTGGGGGGATGGTGCATCGTCGCCAAGTCTTTTGCTTTCGTAGTGAGTGATTTTCGTGTGCAAGTTCGGTACTAGTCCCTCTAGGATTTTCCAGGTGTATATAATCATGTATCTCTCCCTCCTGCGTTCCAGGGAATACAGGTTTAGAAACCTCAAGCGCTCCCAGTAATTGAGGTGTTTTATCTCCGTTATGCGCGCCGTGAAAGTTCTCTGTACATTTTCTAGGTCGGCAATTTCACCTGCCTTGAAAGGTGCTGTTACAGTGCAGCAATATTCCAGCCTAGATAGAACAAGTGACCTGAAGAGTGTCATCATGGGCTTGGCCTCCTAGTTTTGAAGGTTCTCATTATCCATCCTGTCATTTTTCTAGCAGATGCGATTGATACAATGTTTATGGTCCTTGAAGGTGAGATCTCCGACATAATCACTCCAGGTCTTTGACGTTGGTGTTTCGCTCTATTTTGTGGCCAGAATTTGTTTTGTACTCTGATGAAGATTTAATTTCCTCATGTTTACCATATCTGAGTAATTGAAATTTCTCATCGTTGAACTTCATATTGTTTTCTGCAGCCCACTGAAAGATTTGGTTGGATGTCCGCCTGGAGCCTTGCAAGTGTCTGCAATGGAAGAAAATGTCATGCAGATTCGGGTGTTCATCTGCAAAGGAAGACACGGTGCTGTGGCTGACATCCTTGTCTATGTCGGATATGAGGATGAGGAACAAGATGGGAGCTAGTACTGTGCCTTGTGGAACAGGCTTTTCACCGTAGCTGCCTGGACTTTACTCTGTTGACGACTACTCTCTGTGTTTGTTAGTGAGGAAATTATAGATCCATCGACCGACTTTTCCTGTTATTCCTTTAGCGCGCATTTTGTGCGCTTTTTACGCCATGGTCAAACTTGTCGAAGGTTTTTGGGCAAAGTCTGTATTATATTACATCTGCACTCTTTTTGTCTTCTAGTGCATTTAGGACCTTGTCGTAGTGATCCAGTAGTTGAGACAGACAGGAAGCGACCTGTTCTAAACCAGTTGCCCTGGGTTGTGTAACTGATGGGTTTCTAGAGGGGTTTGGTGATCTTGCTTGTTAGGACCCTTTAAAAGATTTTTATGATATGGGATGTTAGTGCTATTGGTCTGTAGTTCTTTGCTGTTGCTTTACTGCCCCCTTTGTGGAGTGGGGCTATGTCTGTTGTTTTTAGTAACTGAGGGACGCCCCCCCGTGTCCATGCTCCTCTCCATAGGATGGAAAAGGCTCGTGATGGGGCTTCTTGCAGTTCTTGATAAACACAGAGTTCCATGAGTCTGGCCCTGGGGCAGAGTGCATGGCATGTCATTTGTCGCCTGTTCAAAGTCATTTGGCGTCAGGATAACATCGGATAGGTTGTGTTAATCAAATTTTGGGTTTCCTTCAAAAAAAATTCATTTTGATCTTCGACTCTCAGTCTGGGTTAGCGGCTTCCCTAAAAACTGAGTCATATTGGGATTTGGGAGTAGCTCACCTTTTCCTTGCTGTCATCTGTGAGGGACCATCTTGTTTAAGTAGGGGCCCAATACTGGGCGTTGTTCTCGATTTTGATTTGGCATAGGAGAAGAAATACTTTGGGTTTCTTTCGATTTCATTTATAGCTTTTAGTTCTTCCCGCGATTCCTGACTCCTAAAGGATTCTTTTAGTTTTAAGTTCGATGCTTGCTATTTCTCTGACCAGTGTCTCCCTGCGCATTTCAGATATATTGACCTCTTTTAGCCCCCTCTGTTATTCTTTTCCGTCGCCTGTAAAGGGAGCGCCTGTCTCTTTCTTTTTACATCTACTCCTCCTTTTTCTTAGAGGAATAAGCCTTGTGCATACATCGAGTGCCACGAGTTAAATCTGTTTAGGCATAAGTTTGGGTCTGTGTTTTCTTAGGGATATCTTCCCAGCTTTAAACGGTTAGGACTTGGTTTACTTGGTCCCACTTTATGTTTTTTTTTATTGAAGTTGAAATTTTGGGGAATGCTCCCTCGTGACTAGTCTCATTTTGTCGGTCTGGGGCTCCTCGCATAATGTCTGAACCTCAATTATGTTGTGATCTGAGTACAGTGGACCCCGGTTAACGATTTAAACGTGCAAGAGGGCTCATCGTTAAGCGAAATAATCGTTATGCGAATTAATTTTCCCCATAAGAAAAAAATGAAATAAATTAATCCGTGCCCAAAAGCCCAAAAGTATGAAAAAAAAATTTTTTTACCACAATGAAATGTTAATTTTAATACACACAACTGAAAAAAGGGATGCCCCAATTACATGACACTTACTTTTATTGAAGGGTTTTGGTGATGATTGATGGGGTGGGGGAGGAGGGGGGAGCATTATCTTCTTACTGTTTAGAAGGGGAATCCCCTTCCATTAGGACTTGAGGTAGCAAGTCCTTTTTGGGTTACTTCCCCTTTTTCTTTTAATGCCACTAGGGGCCAAACTTCAGAGTCACTGGACCTCTGTCGCACAACAAATCTGTCCATAGAGCTCTGTACCCCCGTTTCTTCAAGACTTTCCCAAAATGGGCCATAACATTGTCATTGAAATAGTCACAAGCACGGCTTGCAACGCTGTGTCAGGGTGATTTTCATCTAAAAGGTTTGCAGTTCAAACCACTCTGCACACATTTCCTTAATCTTTGAAGTAGGCACAATGGATTCCACAACTGGCATAGGCTTCTCAGGGTTAGCCCCCAAAACCCCCCAAAATCTTTCTTAAATTTCCATACTAATTCTCACCCTTTTACCACAGGGTTGGCACTAGAAGCTTTCTTGGGGCCCATGGTCACTTATTTTCCAGAAACACCACCGAAACACTGTAATAATACGAAAAATTCCGAGTGTATGCTTGGGTGTTACCCCGGAGGCTGGTGGGAAACAATGGGACGGCCGGCAACATGTGAGGGCACATTGGACGCGTCTCGGACGAAAATCGGTTTTGCGGGTTTTTAATCGGTATGCGGGGCAAAAATTTTGCGATTTAAAAATAATCGTTATGCGGAAAAATCGCTATGGATTCCATCGTTATGCGGGGGGGCCACTGTATATTGTTTTTGATATGGTGACATTTCTTATCAGATCATCATTGTTTTGTGAAATGAGGTCTAGTGTATTCTCCAGTCTAGTAGGCTCTATTATTTGCTGGTTTAAATTGAATTTTGTGCAGAGATTTAAAAGCTCGTGTGAGTGTGAGTTTTCATCAGAGTGCTCCCGGTGTTATTATGCAACAAATTATTTGCTATATTCCTCCATTTTAGGTGCCTTAAGTTGAATCCCCCAGGAGCAAGATGTTGGGTGCAGGAGCTGGAAGATTTTCCAGACAGTGGTCATTTTTAACAGCTTTTCCGGGAAATCCCGGGATGTTGCATCGGAGGCTTGTAACTACCACAATGACTAGGTTTTGGTTCTTGACCTTTACTGCTAAAATTCCACTAGTCATTTAGGCATTAAGCAGTTCTGTGCAAACAAGTGACTCTGCTTTGTACAGGCCAACCTCCCCTTTTGCCTGTTTCACTCTGTCACATCTGTTGGTTGTAACCTGGGGATCCATATTTCAATTGCCAAGTGATCCTTTATTGGGTCTCGTGAAAGCCGCGAACATTGCTTTGCCTCTGCAAAGAAAGTCCACGGATGAAGGGTATTTGTTGTTTGTTCTGGCTTTAGAACCTTTTATTTTGCCAAAGAAGAATGTAATCGGAACTGGTGGTATTGTTGGTACTGGGGGGATTTTTTTTCGGCATTAGTATCTGTATCTTTTTGTTTGGAGTGGAGGCCATCGACTGTGGTTCCACTCCAGGAATGCTGATTTGGTGAAAGATTTTGCATTTCCTGCAGTTTTTTTTTTCCTTTCCCTGGCACTAAAAAAACCTCTCCTCTTGAGTGGTTTGTGGTACCCGGTTTTCCCATGCCTGGATGTTTTGTATCTTTTTGTCCCTTTAATGGTATGCCCTGACAATTTAAGTTATAGCACAGTCTTTCCTGTACTGAAGAGGTACACATTTCAGGGTGAAAAAGCTTACAGGAGGGAGTTTGCATTTTCCTGTTGTCATATGGGCATGGCATTTTTTCTAGGGTGGTCATAGTTGCACGTCCCATCTGTTTTTCCAGTTTTCCCCATGCAGCAGATCCCAAGTGCATGGGATGTGCACAGGCTTGGTTTCCGCTTGCCTTGGGTTTCTGTGACTGTTTTCCCCTGTTGGTGCATTTTTCCCCGTCTTACTTCTATCCTCCCTAGCACCAACAATGGAGCTCCCCCCAGTTGTTTTTGGTAATTTTATCCTCACTATTGCTATTGGAGTCCTCTTGTTTGCTTTTCCTGCGGAATTTCTAGTTTGCAATATTGGTTTTATCTTATCTTTGACTACACTTTTTTCCCCCTACTATGGCTCCTGTCCCCTATGAGGTCATTTATATGTATTCCTTCCTGCGTATAATTCCCGACACCTGGACAAAATCTCCAGCTTAAACCATTACTGTCCCCCAGGACAGTATCTCCAGTTTCACCATTTCTGTCTCCAGGACAGCACCCCCAGCTTCACCATTACTGTCCCCCAGGACAGCACCCAGCTTTACTATTACTGTCTCCCAGGACATCACCTCCACCCTTTAAACAGTTTGTGAACTACATGGCCAGTATAAGGGCTTTACCATTCACCCCAGATTTTTTAAATGTTCCCATTGTTGTAGATTTTTTATTATAATCAAGGGGGGGGAAGCGCTAAACCCCGGAGGTTTTATACAGCGCCTGGGGGGGGGGATATGTGGGAAGGCATTCAGGCTAATTCGGGGAACTGGAGCACAGATCCAATTCCCTAAATCAAGACCCCCTCCCCAACATCAAGGAACCTTCCTTGAGGGGCCATTGTTGTAGAAAGCTTCCAGGTTTCCTATGGAAAGCAGTTTTGATGTTGTCCTCTTTTAATACCCTTGTGATTTTGTCCCCAGATTTTCCCCATTTGGGCATACCCAGAAACACTTCTCTGTTTTTAAAACTTTCTTGTAGCTAGTTCTGGGATATCTGCACAAGGGGCGTGACACCAATTTTTCCCCAAAAATGACAGTTTATCCATGTGGAAGCCGTTTGTTTGATGACCCCAGACTAACACAGCTTCATAATGATTTGAATGGTTGATTTACTGCCCAAATTTTACTAGCAACCTCTTGAATATTATATTAATAACCTTAAATGAAGCTCTAGCTTTTTTGTATTTCTGTTTCTAACTTTTTTGTATATTGGACAGCCTTACCGTCACGTTCTGATTTTTAATGTTTGTGTTTATAAGGGCGCCTACAACCCCATCCGTTTACAGTCTGCTTTATTGTCCAACGAAACTGTTGAAACCAGTCCCGGGTTCGGACCAGTCAAGGGTTCGGACCCGTCAAGGGTCCGGACCAGTCGATCTGCTCTGATGAGTGGGTCACTTATTTAAAACATACTGGTCGGTGATTTGAGCTAACACATGAAGGATCTACTGGAAATTATCTACCCGAGTAATATGTGATTTGACTGATACAAACAGTATAACTTGCGTGTTGAAGAGCGGTGATATCTGGCAGCTCCCACAATGACGAACGGTCACCTCCTTGTTTATCAAAACGCTGTATCTGGCTTTTCATATTTTTTTTTCCGTCTCCACCACAATAAATGCTATATTATCACTATAGTTGACTGGTGCAAATTTTGGAGGAAGGACGCTTTTTCTGTAGTAATAATTGCTTCTCGTTGTTTTATATTGCGACCGCTGGTAATACAGGTTATATGAAATTCACAGTAACGTCTCGTATTTCAAGAAAAGAAACTAATGAAGTCACTCCACTCCACTAAGTACCATTATAATACTGGTTAGGTTGCTACTAACAACACTGTATTCTGCTATTCATGTTCAAATAGATTATATGCGAGTACACTAGCAGGCCAGGAAGATTATTAAAAACAGCTGACCTGTGGTAAGTTTTTTGGCGACTTCTGGCACCTTCCCCTATAGGCTTTCACTTCATTTCCAATTCACCTGTTTTCAAATGAACTTTAGCCTTTATCATCAAAATACTAGGGAGCCACTGTAGTATACACTATACACTATGTATACTCAATGTTATCAGGGAGACTTTCTTTCCTCTGACATGAAAAGTTCAATTATTATTATTTTTTTTTTCCACACGGGACAGGCCTATGATTCCCCTCTGGCAGTAAACTCTGCTACGCAGTGCACACTAATTCTCCTTTTTTGACTCAGTATATAATGTTTTCCGCCCAAGATTGGTTCCAGGCCCTAGAGGGATGTATCGTATAGGATTGATGACACAAATTAAAGTTCTAGCACGTAAGAGCGAAAGTGAAAACACGAGAAAACCGGGAGCACAACGAGGCACGCTGACACGCAGAGGCAGATGACCGAGTGTTAATACACTGGCCTGTGAGTTTCAGAACTCGCCTACCATGGGTTCAAACTCCACCCATTTTGTGATTTGCTTGCAATTGTGTTATTACAATTTCATGAGTCTTGAGTGTCATATACTCACCTACCCATAAACATCCCCATTCATACCATCTATATACATGTATATATATATATATATATTTATATATATTATATATATAATATATATATATATATATATTATATTATATATACTATACTGTATATATATATTATATTATATTATATATATATATATATATATATTATATATATATTATATATATATATATATTATATATATTTATATACAGTGGACCCCCGGTTAACGATTTTAATCCGTGCAAGAGGGGTAATTGTTATGCGAAATAATCGTTATGTGAATGAATTTTCCCCATAAGAAATAATGGAAATAAAATTAATCCGTGCAAGACACCCAAAAGTATGAAAAAAAAAATTTTACCACATGAAATATACATTTTCCCCACACACAAAGAGAAGGATACATGCACAATAGTAGAGTAGTACATGCACAGTATATATTGTGCATGTACTAGTCTACTAAATGAAGAATAAATGACACTTACCTTTATTGAAGATGCAGCAATGACTGATGAGACACTGTGTCCTGGGAGTGCCTTTTCCTCCTGAGTACTGTAGGTCCTGTTTGGCATTTTCTTCCAGAACAGGCCTTATCACACTGTGTATGCCACTACGATTCTTAAATCTCTCAAACCAACCTTTGCTGGCTTTAAATTCACCAATATGAGCACTAGTTCCAGGCATTTTTCCCTGTTCACCTGGGTGTTAGTCGACTTGTGTGGGTTGCATCCTGGGAGATAGATTAAGGACCCCAATGGAAATAAGTTAGACAGTCTTCGATGACACTGACTTTTTTGGGTTATCCTGGGTGGCAAATCCTCTGGGGTTAATTGTTTCTTGGTATTCTCAATAAGCCACACCAACAACGGTGCTACAGCAGCAGCAGCAGCTGACAGTGCAGCAGCAGCAGCAGCTGTACCACCAATAGTAGCGATGGTTGATTGGGGTTTATTATACAACCTGGCCAGCTCGGAGACATGCACTCCACTTTCATACTTTCAATGATCTTTTTCTCATCTCTATTGTAATTCTCACCCTTATTGCTGTAGGGTTGGCACTAGAAGCTTTCTTGGGGCCCATGGTCACTTATTTTCCAGAAAAAAAGCACGAAAACACTGTAATAATACGAAATATTCTCGATTGTATGCTTGGATGTTACCGCGGAGGCTGGCTGGTAAACAATGCCACCGGCGGAACATGTGAGCGCGTCTCGGAAGAAAATCGGGTAAGTGGGTTTTTAAGCGGTATGTGAGGCAAAATTTTTGCAATTAAAGTAAGCGGTATGCGAAATAATCGCTATGTGATGCCATCGTTATGCGGGGGTCCACTGTATATATATATATATATATATATATATATATATATATATTTATTTATTTATTTATTTATTTATTCCTCAGTTTCCTTGCCATGGATCATGCCACCTTTGCTATCTGCAATAAATAAATAAATGAAATCCATACTCAGTATTTTTTAAGAGATGGACTGGTAAGCTGGTGGAAGCTTTTAGTTTCAAGGAACCATCGCTACAATGAGTGGGTCATAACATGACAAAGAAATGCAAGAGGAGACACTTTCCTTGAAGAAAATACCCCCCTCCTTCTACCCTGCCCTATCACTCCACCTGTACAAGGTTAACACATGTATTCCTCAAGGAACTGTATGACCCTTGTGGATTTAGCACTTAGTTATGATTATAATAATTCCTCAAGGGAGGTTCCTTGATGCAGTGAATGGCTCTTGCCCACTGCTTCCTTGGATCAAACCTGATTCCCCCTTCACCCCCAATTTCCCAAGTGCTGTATGACTTGCTACAGGTTTAGTCCTTTCCTTAAATAACAGTTTTTTGTGAATATAATAATCATGTGTGTATACTCCTCATGAATCCTCCTTTTCCTCCCATAACTGAAGCCTCACCCATGACCGTAGGGAGGAACAAAGTAGAGGCAGCAGTGAACTCGGTGGTCCTGTATGTTCTTTCGGTTGAGTCCTGATTCATCTTGGAAGAATTTATTAAATTGCTCATCGACGTATCGCTCCACCGCCTTCCATCCTTCCTCACAATTGACAGCATCCCCAAACCCTGTAACAAATGAAGATACTGTTAGTGAATGAATTAATGTATACAGCTACAAGGTAAAATTTAAGTTTAGGCTGCAACTCGCCAGTTTTGTTTTACTACGTTACATCTCAACATATGCCAAGGAACTATATTTCATATTTGAGATCTGTGAATGGTGTTATTTCTTGATCTCCTGAGGACAGAAGTTTTTTTCACCATTCAGTGGGCTGTAAACTCTTCAAACTGAAATATTCATTTATAAATCTATTACATACAGGAATAGGTAGACCATGTGTGCATAATTTACAGAATAAAATTTTTGCAATGCGCATATCATGGAAATCATAAAATGGATAACTGAGTATTAAATGTTTACAGTGCAATACTGTCCCATGTCCGTTAGCTTGATTGCTGGTGCACTCATCTCTCACTCAGGTCAGTGGTTCAATCCTGAGTATGGGTGGAAACAATAGGAAGTGTTTCCTTAATACATCTGCTGTCCTTGTTTATCTATCATTAAAATAGGTACCTGGGTGTTCGTCGACTGGTGTGGGTCACATCCTGAGGACAAAACTGATCTAATTTGCCTGAAATGCTTTGCATAACAAGGGGATTTCTGTATAGTAGCACATATGTCATAGATGTCAGCTAGGCCTGTATACCTTGTAAATGTACGTACAGTGGTCCCCCGCTTTTCGTAGTTCCCGGCAATCGTAAAAAATTTGCCAATCATAGAGGGTTTTTTCGTAAAAAACATGGACTCGCTTTTTCATAGGTTGACTCGCGAGTCGTAGTTCAGTCCGGGACGTGTACCCATGGCGTGAGCCAGGGCGGGCCC